GTGATTCCTGTGATTCCTGCTCCCAGAAATCAGTGTGTGATGATGACCCCGTGTCTTCACTGCAAGTGTACAAGGAGAAAGCTGAAAGCTGTGGATTGTTGACTTGGATCGGTGACGGGCTTCTTCAGATCATGAAGATGGGTCCAAGATGCATTCCCGTGTGTTATTTCACAGTCTTCACCAACTTCACATGGAAGTTAGTAATAGCTGGCATTGAGGTCCAACATGACAGGCTGTCCCTTGAATTACCAACACAGTTGTCTCTTGATGATTGTTTGAAGGTGTGTGAGGCACTGGCATCAAAACAAGTGTGTGAAGGAAATAGTGATTTCCGTGAAATCTTGGAGCTGAAAAGAGGGCCTGATGGAGAATGTCCATTGTATGTTACTCCCCAAGATGAAGTTGTGGGTGACACAATACGTCATAAAAGTTGCCGTCTTCATGTTGAAGGAGGAAATCGCTGTTCAGTATGCCGCATTCATAGAAGTGACTTGGCAGGTGTCCTGCATCGGTTGCGTTCTAAGTCGGCGTTGCCTGTAAACTCGACATCGAAGCGGCCATTGTCATCTATGACATATTCCATGCTCAAGCAGAAAACCTGCACACTGCAGAAGGAGAGAAAGCAGCTCAAGCGAAAGCTGTGTCAGATGCAGAACAAAATTGAAGATATGATTCAGGCTGAAGGGATGGAAGTTGAACCTATCAATGAACAGTGCATTGATAGAAACTGTAACTTCCAACAACAACCGGATGAAAGAGATGCTTCCAGAGGAATCAGCTGCAAGGCTTATGTGGGAGCAACAGGCCGGGTCTGCATCAAAGGGTCGCCAGATGCGCTGGCATCCAGCGATTATTCGCTGGTGCATAGCGTTACAAAGTAAATCAACATCAGCGTACAAGTTCATCAGGGAGAGTGGGTTTTTCAAGCTGCCCCATCCTACGACCTTACATCCTTACACGCATTTTGCTGACCCATCAACTGGATTTAGTGCTGATATGTTGGAGACAATAGTAAAGGAGCACAATATTAGTCAGTGCCCTGAGCAGGAGAGACATGTTGCTTTACTTTTCGATGAAATGAGAATCAAATCTGGTCTTGTCTATTCTCAGAGACTTGGAAAAATTGTTGGTTACACCGATGTTGGAGAAATAAGTAATCAGGTCTTGGAGTTTGAACGGCGGTGCAAGGGTGACGAGGAGCCTGTTTTGGCCACACATGTTTTAGTTTTGATGGTCCGGGGACTTTTCAGTTCTCTTCAGGCACCTGTAGCGTACTATGGCACAGAAGGCATCACCAGCGATCAGCTTTACCCATGTATTGCAGAGGCTGTCATTTATCTAGAAACAGTTGGGTTTGAAGTTGATGCTTTCGTATCAGATGGAGCCTCTGCAAATAGGAAGTTTTACCGACTTCAATCATCAGCCGAGTCAGCAAATCCTACATACTTCACACAGCACCCATTAGATCCTGCAAGGCGAATATACTTCATATGCGATGTTCCCCACCTCGTGAAAACTACACGCAATAACTGGGAGAACTCCGGTTATCACAACAAAACAAAAAACCTCACGGTAAGTTTATTTGTCATTTTGTTTGTTTTGTGCATGAAATCTCAAACTCAACTTTTACCTCTTAACAATTTAAACAAGTCATGCAACAAGAATAAGCTGCTCTTAAAGAACACTCGTGCCAAAGATTCACATGCCTGCGGTAGTTCATTTCAGTCTTCCAGTATGTGTGGAAAAGGAAGTACATTGGTTGTCCATGAGAACTAACAATAAAGAACTTACAACAGAGCGTTCCAAATCCATCCAACTATCGTCCCCCCCCCAAAAAAACTTTGAAATTAATAAACCAAATATGGATTTTAAGAAATTTGGAAACTACCAAGTGTTAAGCTGTAGCTTAGAAACGCAATGCATTTACAGTTTTGCTTGTTATCATTTTGCTTTCTTTACAGTATAACCATCAGTGCATCAGCTGGACACACCTCTTGCAGCTTTATGAGTGGGATGTGGGCCTTACACGATGTTCACCCGGTCTCCGCCGTCTGCATAAACTTTCGCATGAGCATCTGCATCTTACACCGGCTCTTAGAATGAGGGTTTACATGGCAGCTCAGGTTAGTGCTGTAAAATGTACTTTGAAAATTAAGACAAATGTTTTTGTATTTTGAAAGCATTGTTAATGTTGTCATGCTGTAGTCTTGAATTGTCAGTATGATGGGCATGCTTTTTGCCTTGTGAACTGCCAGGTTGGTACTACATGCTGATATAATCAGATCAGAAAAATTTCTTTTACTATTCTGTTGACAGGTTTTGAGTAGCAGTGTTGCCAATGCATTGGAGTCATTGGATCGTCCCGGCACTGCATCAACTGTGGCATTCATCCGCTACATGGACCAGTTTTTGGACTGCCTTAATGTGGCCAACCCTCATCAAGGCAGACGAGCCAGGAAACCTGCACTGGAACCATATACTAGTTGTGATGACTGGAGATTTGAGGTAATATTTGCTTATGGTCATCAAACCTTGCAGTGCAACTTACTCAGTTTTATTTTATGTTTTCTCCTTTTCAATGTGCATGCAGAAATGTGTGTGGGGAAGGTGAAAAAACAAAATTAAATTGGAATGTAAGCTCAGTCTACTATCTATTGATAATGCTTAATGAATTAGCACATTTTGAAGCGAAGAAAGAGGCTCAATTTGTCACCATATTTATTCTCTGTTTTCCCCACTCCGTTTTGCTATCATATTGCATTGCTTACAGAATGCAACACATAATTCTAACACATTTACATGTATACAAATGCCAAGATGAAAAATGTTAATTATCCTTTTGATTGGTATTTTTCTTTTTTACACAAGTGGTTGACAAAGGACTTCCTAGGCTTCTTCAGAGCTTGGAGGGATGAAGTAGAAGCATTCCCTGGCTTGTCCAAGAAGGTGAAGAAGAGGATGTTCATCAGCAAGGAGACAATGGAGGGACTGGAGATAACAGGTAATTTAAATTAAACGTTATCACTGCAGTGGCAAGCACACTTGCTGCATGACATGCAAATACAGAAACCTATTGTATGAAACACATGCACATGTATCCATTTAATTATATTTTATCTCAAGAAAGAGTTATTTTCATTCGCATCTCCCAATTACACTGTTCCAGCCAAAGAAAGGGGAGCTTCCCTGTTGCATTTGGGCACTTTTCTCCTTCATCTGCATTTCACCCTAGGAAAACTGAAGCTGGGCATGTCTCTTGTCCGGAAATCCTCAGTTTCTTGCCCAAAACTGCTAATGTAAAAGTGGTGTTAATTTAATAGTTTTGGCATTATGAGCTATGCATTTTGGATATAGGTGCGTAACACTTCCAAACACTTGAATTTAATTTTTACAGTTCAGTCTTTCGTGGAATTGGCGAAGTACTTGCTGACGTGCCGTGGGGTGTCATTCTTCCTGAGTGAAAAGCTCAATCAAGACCCGCTTGAGCAATACTTCAGTAGACAGCGAGGATCTGGGGGCAGCTCTGACAACCCATCACTTGAACAGTTTGGCCATAACATGCTTTCCCTCCATGTTGCATCTGGATGCCTGAAATCTTCCAAGAGGGGAAACAGCAGGAGTCAGCACGACCAGCCAGCAGACATCAGTTCACTCAGTAAACCCCTTCCAAAACGGAAGTAAATGTTCAAAGTAAAGAAACACCAGTTCATGAAGACCAGAAAAAGAACATGGAGCTCACAGAACCAGAGTGGTGAATAAATAATTTAATACTTGTATATATGTACAAAATAGTTAACAAAAAGAAATTTGTCAGTGTAACCTTACTGTACAAATTCATGAGCAGGATACATCCGAGGACAGGAAGTACATGTACAGATTATTTTTACATAATGTCCAGTTGGTGCTTGAAGTTGATGTTCAAACATTATGAACATTTTATTAACATCCGATTTCTGAGGTCCTTAAATATGCATATTGTTAATTATAAGTATTTATGTACAATTTTTGTCATTGAAAGGCACAGATTTGTACACAAAAAATGTCATGGTCCACCAAATTTTGTTACCAACTCTGAGCAAGGTGGAAAGACAACCAGGAAGTGGAAAGTTGTGTAGATTTATTCCACAAAGGTTGATGGTTGCAGGGTTTTTCTCAGTGCCTTCTCACCTCTTTTAGAGACTTTACCACTGGACTTTTTCAAATCAAGATAAACTTTAATGAAGGCAGTTACCCGTATCTTTATCCATAAGTTAAGAACCATGTCCAAGAATCGTTTGGAAACATCTCCTGAAAGTTTTCCTTGGGTTAACGTTTGCCAATAGTTGTGTACACGTCTCACTGAAAGTATCTTTTCTTTCAAAGAACTTTTGACATTCATTCCAGGGAATTTACTCAAGTTGGCTCTTGTCAAGAATTGTCTAGAAACATGTTCAAGGGTGCGGAAAAAAATATACACATCATCGCCAACATGAAATAAGCCACCTCTGTTCTGTTTCTCTATCCATTCATTTGTGTACTCTAAGAATGTTTTCTCGGTATCAGTTTTACAAGCACGCCACTTTTTCAAAACACTGCATAGAAATGCTGCAGTTTCGTTACTTTGTCGTTTCAATTTCTGGTTAAGAGCAAATGGGATATACCCTGCGGCGTATCTCAAGACCTGCTCCTCCTCTCTTGAAAGGGGTGTTTCTTTATCATTCACGGTTTCATCTGGATTGTCCACAGAGTATCTATCATTAACCATCAAAGACAACACAGTCTGCAAAATATACTGGTATGTGATGTGAACAAACTTTCCACTGCTGTCAATATTTAAACTGTTGAGCAATTTCATTAAATCTGAGGAACTTTCCAGCTTGAACTTGTGGAATGCTGTCCACATCATTGCAGATGCCTCAGGCTTAAGAAATTTGCCATCGCCTGCTGTCAGTATTGCCCACAGGGCACACACCATGTCAGTGCAGTAGGTTTGCATCTCAGCCCTCTCAATCATTGTGAGCAGCATCACAACAAGTCCCATGGTAGCGATTGCCAGGGGATAACCACCAGTGAAAACCGGATTAGTCTGCATTCTCTGAAGAGCTGTCTTGAAGTAATCTTGGGATTTTTTCAACACATCCTCTTTTGAGAGTGATGGTCGTTGCTCTTAAAAAAAAAACAGAAACAGAAATTTTGAAGAGTTATGATCTTGTGCTGTAATGAGTATCTCGCAGGTGTATGTCCACAATACATGTATTTACAACCCAAGCAAGTCGTACAAGTACTAAATTCTGAGTGAAGCTGGAATTGAAATAAAAACTGCTATTAACCATGTTTGTACATGTACATGTACTTCATTATAACAAGAATACACATAGCTTTTTATTCTCAGTTATGTTCTGACTGTTTTGTGTCCAAGCGACAATAGTGCATAGAGAAATTCCTCTTCTGTAAGTAAAAGTAAAACATGGTCCATAAACTAAAGTTTTGCGGAAATAAATCGTGGCTTTTGAAAGGAATTAATGCCACAGCTCAGATCACTTACGACAGTTTACGACAGTTACGTCAACAAATTTTCCAAAAAAATTACCTTGCTTGTGTGCTGGCTGTTCTTTGTCCTTAGTTCTGCGAACATCCTGACCCTGGACTTTGGAACCCTTGCCTTTAGGATGAGCTGCATGGAAGAAAAACAGGAGACGTAATGTACAACTGAAATGACTCACTGAGTTAATGGTTAAAGAGTGGAAAAATCAGAAAGAGTTCCACCCATGTACAACAGGACAACACTCAAAGCCCCTGTGCACAAACCTATGAGACTGTCGGAATAAACCTGTTTTTTTAAGTACTTCATTAAGCTAAATGTCACTTTTACGGAAATGTAATCGCTCTCTGATTAACTAGTCCAGAATATATTGGGTATACATGTACATCGTATAACAGTGTCATGAAATATATTATTAAAAAGTGCAAATTAAATGTGCCTTTTTTGATGCTCTTTCCTTTCCCTTTGCGGCGCTTCACCCCAAGGTCTTCGTGGTAGACTTGGCATGCTCAGAAGATGGAGGGTCAGATTGTGCTGAGGCATGTGATGCAGTATCCACCAGTGCAGGCTCTTCATTTTCATGGGAGGCAATGTCTGACGAATCTACTGGTAGAAATGAATATGAAGCAAAAAAAAAAAAAAAGAGTAGGCCTACAGAATAAAGAGGAAAAATGTAGCATGTTGAAAATGATGGCAAGTCATGGCCGGCCAAACCATCCATCTGAACATTTCATAATTTTTTTTTTTTTATTATGCCTAGCACTGCCTAGGCCCTAATCATGCTAATGCAAATTGACAACAGGCAGTACAGGATCAGGACATGCAGGATCAATCATCATCGATGCATTGCATTGTCATGTGCATGTGCAAGTTTTGTCACCCTTTTCTATTTTAGACAGAGGGTAGTAACCAGACATGTCAAGGCTGAAAAGTATGTTGTTCCAACTCAAGGAAAGGGAGCACTTACCATCAGTGAGCCCGGTAGTACTGTCGGCTTTGCGACAGACGCAACAAAACCAGGATCCCTTTGGAATGTTGTCGTCGGACAGCCCCACGCAATCGAAATGAAACCATTCGATACTGCATCCGGCCTTATCACAGGCTATCGTGTCTGTAGTTGCCGGAAGTCCGCACACACAGTATCTTGGCATCTCTTCTTCACATTCATCGTCGGGAAAGTCAAAAATCTCCTCCTCACTCTCTGAAAAATCGCTCAAATCAGACCTGTAATAAAAGTCGTCAGCTCCGTAGGCCGCCATTTTTTCATTTGCGTTGGGAGCCGGTGCACGTGCGCAATGCCTACTAATATCCCAGCATGCAACGCGCTTGCGGTTTTTGGCAGCCCGGACCGTTGTTTACTTTGCGGTCGTGATCTTATCGTGGCATGAGACATAGCCCCTCTGATCTTAGCTCGCGCTAACTCCTTTTCCTACCTCTATGCACACACTAAGGCATGTCTAGGCCTTCTGTACACTGAGTAACATGCCTCATACAGCATATCCTGGCACAGCAAATATCAAAAGGGTTCCTTAATAAAATACTCTAAAATCATTCCTGAAAATGAACTCCTACTAGAGTACATGTAACTAGTATTGAAATTTCAACTACATCACTTCAACACTTCTCAGAGGGAAAATACTGGACCAAGACATTTTCTGTGTACTGTATGAAATTCCTCCAACTGAGAGTCCAGTCTTAGTTTAAAGTCTTAAACATCTAAAAGTTATACAATAATATAATAGAAAATACGCTTGCATCATCATAAAATGGGAAGAAACTCTACATACCTGAAAGAAGAATGAGAGCTTCAGTCAGCAAAAGATACAGGGAAACACTCTAATACTAGCTTTATTGGGCACACACATGTGGACTTGGTCATCGCTGAAAGAACAATGAACCAAAGCCACTTCCTGTACCCCTGCTGTACCCCTGTGATGATGTGGCACTTCATTAGCTATGTGGGTTGATCCATGTAGCTAATGGGTAAATCTAGCAGTGCATCAAGCAATTTACACTATGTATAGGGACATTCCAAGGAGAAAACATAAGGTTAAACAAAAGAGAATAGGGGGGGGGGCAATTTCCATCTTCCCAACATGCAGTTGCGCTTCATAGAGCAACAATAGAAAGTGTGGATTCTCCCGAGACTATCCAAGGGGGCAGGTTGATGGCCAGCCCCCAAATAGCCCCAAAATGGTGATGCATACTACGCCTGCCCCCCCCCATATTACACTGCTTTGGTTTATTTGTCTATCAAATTTTATTGCAAAAAGAAGTCACTCAAATCATGTACAATCATATACAGCACATCATTAATACATTTATTTTACCGCCCCGTGTGCATCCGGTCAGTCGTACAGTACTATCGCAAACTGTACTACAAAGTTTGTGATAGAACTGTACGGCTGGAGGTGCTCGGACTATTATTTTACCAATTCATGAAGAAAAGAAGTCACTCAAATTATTGCATGCCAAAAGCTGCAATTTCAGTTGTGTTTGTTTCCATTTTCTTTATGCTTATACTGCACGCTGAACTTAAATTCAAGTTTGTTTTCCAACAACGTTCACCCCGCAACGCTCAATGTTTGCGGCATAGACCGCTCTGATGTATAGTGTGACCATTGGCATCAAGACTTCATAGGATCACCTCTAATAAAAAGAGAAAAACATGGCGATGGCAGTAACAATTCGACAAATGATATTTTTTCATATTCATTATCTTAATTTAATTTTCCCAACAATACAAGTCAACAGAGAAGAGAATATGGGAACAATGCTGTCACTCCTCTTTCGTCATTCGTGGCCGGGAAAAATGTTTCCATTGGCCAGATTCAATGTGAAAATTCATAGGGTACAAGTTAACTTGGGTACGAGTTAACTTGAGTACGACTATACTCTGGTACGAGTTAACCTGGGTACGACTTGACGCGGGTATGACTTAACTTGGGTGTAAATTTTTGGCTATGAGTTGACTCGGTATGAGTTAACTTGGGTAGGAGTTGACCGGTTCCCATCCTCTGAAGGTGAACTCTTTAATGTCCAGCCTTTTACAAGGACACTTTAATGGCCCACACCAGTGGACTTTCCTCTGAGGGGGCGACTTGGTCAGGAGGCGAGTTTGCCAGGGGGTGACTTGGCTGGGGTTGACTCATCCGGGGGGCGAGTTGGCCAGGGGACAAGTTGACCTGATTCCGTCTATTACGTCCAGAAGTGTTTTGATGCATAAATTTTAAACGTTTCAAGGAGATAAATATGAACATGATTTTGTCAACGCCTTCAAAAACTGTCCACTAAATCCACCTAAAACATTGTTATTTCATATTCCAGTTTCTCTGTAGACTCTCATTCATCACTTCTCTACTACCTCACAACCAGGTTGCCAACTGGACCTCAATATGAAGCAGTAAGTGAATCAGACCTACAATTCATGTGATAAAACAAGATTTAAAAACAGAAAAATTTTGAATGATTAAGAGTCTTACTTTGTTGGTCGGGGTGACTCGACAGCATTTTTGCCTCAAGATAACCTGGTCCCCCAAATGTGTCACTCCAAGTCTTTCAATTCATCATTGGTTAGTGAAACAATAGCTGCTGAGGATATCTAAATTAAAATGAAACAGTATGTTTGTTTTACTACATGTATAAGGAGATCTAGTTTTCGTTGGCATTCTTTTCAGTAGCACTAAAAGTAATGTTGGAAAAGACACTTCAGTCTACAGTCAAATGTTATGGTGGAAGCCATTACACATAATCCTCTGCTGTAATATATTAATGGTTTACTTACCACCTGTCTCGTGTCCATGGACTACCTTCTGCACTTCCCCTTCATCAATTGGCTCCGCCTTTCTGTCCTCTTCTGTTTCCATTGTGCTCCCTGCATATTTTGTAAATTATTGAAATTTTATTTTAACCACTATGATGCACACACAGATTCAACATATTTCAAATGAATCTATAATGGGATAAAACTTCAGAAACCTTGCCACCTAGCAATACCCAACTTGACAAGAATGATTTTTATTATCTTATTTTTATTCTTTTCTCTTTCAGTCTAACAATTTCCTGACTTTATTCCAGAGAAATATAATAGGATTCAAATCCAATTTGTGGTGTGTTTCTTGTTATTTGTAAATTACATTTTGGAGAAAATGGGGTAAAAGATGTTTGTGTACATTACATGTACGAATGTATTTCACATTCAAGATCCTGTTGTACAGTTTTAACACATGCTGCATCTCTCAGTAATTGCAAGTATTTGTATCAATGTTTTTGTCAGGTCTTCCTACACACTGCAATTTATTTTTAAAAGGGAATGAATGTAGACAAATATTGTTTCAAACCTGCTCATGTGTGTGTTTTTTTCATAAAAATCCCTTTTCCAGAAATTGTTTCAACTCATGTGCAAGTGGGTTCATATAATGTTGTACAATCAATTTTAGTAATCAGGTTATCTCCACGAATGTTATTTGTATTTTGTTAGAATAAATCATGGTCTCCACCAGCAGAAATAGGTACTGGAAAGGGTGTCTGACGTTGTGTACAATGTACGTGTACCTCAAAATCCACAGTAGGCCTACAGTGATCAAGTGCGCATGTGCTAACTTACATGTAAGTGATTAGTCTGAGTAACTTGGACTCTACAAATGGCCTTTTTCAACATCTGGACATGGTTGGGTGATAGTAGGGTCAAAGTGGTTATGCTATATAGCGTCAACAAGTGTCAACACTAATAAGTAGCATCAACCACTTGAGTATACCCTCAAAATCTGTGAAAGTGGTGTTATATTTGAAAGACAATAACATGTTCCAGTGTGAAAGAAAAACAGGGAAGTTTCTTCCAAATTCAAGCAGAAAATCAAAAATGTTTCCCGAGATGTATGGGGGCCGGCATCTTTCTTTTCCTGCCTTCCAAACAAAAACAAGATGGGGGCCAGTTTGGCTGCATGAACACCTCCACATTTAAATATCAATTCAGATAAATATGATTATATTAAATTTGATATTTAGAATCCTAATTAATATTATAAACTACACATTTCAGTACAAAGATGCTGGAATGACTTAATGCTTGTTGACGTTAAATAGCATGACGAGGTCCATGTACTGTACCTTCCATAGGCTTTTGCTTCCACTAATTCACTTCTCTCAATATAGCTTGTACTCCATATCAAACTCCTCCAAATTCATCTCCAAAATGGTCCTTAAACTGTATAATGTTCCTGGCTTAGGAACAAGTGAGAATCAGAGATTCCAGTTATGATGCTAAAGTTTACTCACATTTGGGAAGAAAAAAACAAATTTACCCTTTAAATCAGAAACGGTCTTGTCATCGAGCATGATGCCATCATCTTGTTCAATTAGCAATTTGAAAGGTAATGTCCTGGAGACAACACATACTGTGTGCTAGTCTCTAGCAGACCATTCACAAAAAGTATGCCTTGTCAATACAGGCGTACTGACAACTGATTCTGAGCGCATAATGTCCGGTGCACAGGGAAAGAGTTCCATATAAAGGACACCACTTGTCACTCGGTGCACAAAACCCTATAGGACTGGTCTGAAAAAATTTCAGCGTTTTCCAAGTAACGACTTGGTTTTTTCCCTCCTAAATTCAATTTTTTGGACATGTTTTTGCTTTGTGATGGCTATTAAGTCACCGAAGGGAAGAATTATGGGTGTCTGTCATGTCCGTATATGGAACCCTTCCTATGTATAGTTTCAAGTTTCAATGTAATCACAGCTACTGGACAAAGCCTAGGCTATAGAAGGCACTTAGACCCTACTATCTCCTGACCATGTCCAAATGTTAAAAAGGGCGATTTGTAAGAGCCCAAGTTACTCAGACTAGAAAGTACATGCACAAAGGCATAGGAGTGAACATGGGGAACATACGTTATCATTAGACAGCAAGCTGCTTAACATAAAATATTCAAAGCCAGTTCTCATGCAAGGCTGACCTGCAGTTCAAACAAGTTACAATGAAAATATAAAACATTAATGGTCTCTATGAATGGTTGAATTCTTTCATATAACTGAAACGATTGGTAGGGACTGCTGTAAATGTCTTATCTTTAGGTATGACTGCAATTGCCGCAGCGCAAGTTTGACTTCAATCCTTTCAAACACCCCTGCAGAGTTTACTAGTTTCCCCTTCACAAGCTGATTGTGTGGCTTTAAATCAAATCCACATTTCAAGGCAGGTGGAGTATGGCGGAACCGAGAAGAAGTCTATTTCACACTTCCCTTGGTGGCAGAGACTGGGCCCTGTTGTTGAGCTGGGATTGGATTCAGATTGCAGTAGCCCAATTTGATGTCCGCTTCCAATGTTTTAGCCAAAATGTATGGGTCGCACAATGATGAAGTACCATTGACTTCGATGGCACTGAATACTCTCCATACTTCTTGAAATCCAAATTTGTGTACTGCAAGTCCAAACTGTACGTTCATCGACAGTAGACAAACAGCATTCAAAGAAATGTCAAGATGGGATAAGGTGTTCTGGTACTGCTGCACTGCCCTGTCCTCTTCTTGAAGTTTGACAACAAATGACCCCAAATCAAACCTCGCTATTTTTCATTTTTACATGGTCTCGATACATCATCATTCCTACCATTTCTAAAACATAGAAAAGCAAACATGAGCAGAAATCCCAATCAATAGGCAGAGAATCATAATTTCGATGAAAGCAAGGAATGATGAAAGCATCAAAAGAACATGAGGTACATGTAGCACGTGCATATGCGTGGCTAACTGGTATCATTAAGTAGGGAACATAAAGGGAACCAGGGAAATTCTAAAGTCATTTGGGGAAGTATGCACCTGCTCAAAAAAAAAAGAAAATGGTGCTCTCATTATAACTTATGAATATTAATTTTTTAATCCCAGGGGGGACAAACTTAGGGGACTCTCCAATTGCATCCTCTCCTTCCATTGACGACATCGTAGCTGATGGTTTCCAGTTATCCCAGTTGGTTAGATCGCTTCATCAAAATGATAAATAATTTTAAATGATTAAAATATTCCTTTGCAAAGTGAGTTTTATGAAAGTTCAAACTTTTGACATGAACTGTTCAAAAACAAAAAAAGTCTGTCCAGCTACCGCCAGGGTAGTGTAGAACAGCGGCAAGCAAATATTTGCATGGCCAATGTCAATGGTTGCCAATCCAGTCATAGCACTGACATGAAGGCATTGTCTCATTGTTTCAAGCACCACAATATACTCGTTATTAGTCTCTGTGAAACTGCATACCTTGAAGCTGCTGCCAACCCTTTCAATTTGACAATCCTCAGCACTTGGTAGCTTTGTCATGCAATGTATTATGAATTCCTTTGGCCAGTTCTGTAGGAACTGAGGGATTGCCTGTTCTGCGGTTGTGAATCTTTGTTTGTACTCACTTTGACCCGATGAGCCATCAAAACCCTATTTGCAAATTAAGTCAAGAAAGAGAAGACGTTCATCCTTTGGTGCCTTCTTAATTAGTTTGTGGATGTTGTCCTGTCGTTGTTCCAATATATGAAGGGCTGTGTGATCTAAAAGACTGTGGAGAAACTTTGGCAGAATCTTCGCTCACATTTATATTTTGTGGGTAGCACTTCTGCTTTGCCCCTCAGACTGTATTGTAAGGCGGGTAGACATCTGCCTTTTCTCTTTGGCAGCTGTTTTCAATGTTTGATACGTAGACTTTGATCCAATCTCATTTTGCCTATTTTGGCACAGTTTGACCTTGAACTGGCCCACTGTTCACTTGCTGATGTTGGCATTCCTCCTCACGGTCTTTGCATCGAGACGAGGTAGTAACCTACATGTCCTGTCGATTGCCGAGGGCCACATCTGCTGGAAGTTGCATGGGGTTTGTCTCATCCCAACCATAGGGTTCCTGACTAAAAAGGTAGATGCCTATCTTCCAGCCTCCCAACATACATGTATAACCCCACTTTTGTGAGACGACGCTGACAACAGATGGTGTCCGGTCCGGAGTTTCAAGTGGTACCTTGCCAGGACCAAGCATCGCTGTACCCTGGACCGGCCAAAGGGAGGGAATATTAACCACGCACTGTCCTCCCTAATTAGCTAGGACCAAAACCAACGCACCACGGTCCCTGCTAATTAAGTGATCCCTGACCCGCAAGCGAGCAAATACTCAAAGCGGGATGACTACGTGAACTTCTCTTTTATCTCAATTATCTAATACATGGGGATGGAAGTAGTACGATGCCGCAAAATTCAAATGATGACAGGACACTTCTATTCATAAACACATATAAATGCATTACCCAGTAGAGGCAGTGCATATGAACCATATACAAATTACAAGATCAAAAGAAGATGCTCACTATGTCAAATGAAAATACAGATCTGATACCATCAACAAGCACACATTAAAAAAGTCCTGCATCAACAAAAGGCTTCGGCTTCACAAAGGTGCACGTGTACTGTGATATTTTGGACTCCTTCGAACAAGTCTTTGAGGAGAAAACAGACATTTTCAATAAAGTTTTTTCAATATTGTAAATTAATGAATGATTGCATCCGCACAAGAGAAAAAACACGAAAAAGTTGAATGGGGATAACATCTTTATCAATACATTTCCACAGTTAATCTCCATCTTCACTGCAGACGGTGTTTATGGAGAGGATACATTACTTTCAATAGTTCCTAGGCCGTTGACCTCCCAGGCAGAATGAGATGCATTGATAAAAAACACCAAACCAAATCTAAACTGTGTATAAATGTACACGGGAATACATGTATATGGAAAAAAAGTAATGACACAAAAATACAACACTTAATACTAAATTACAGTTATACAACCCTGCAGATATTTCATTAGATAAACAACCTACCGTACATAAACTGTCAAGGTTTTCAATAAAGCCCAATTGGCAGCTGGATCATTATTAAATTTGATGAGGCAATTTGAAGTACAGGTAATAACATCACAATTAAATTTATCTCCACAATAAGAAAATATGCAATTAAGTTAAACTTATGTAGATTGAGGGGAAAAAACCATCAGAGAACTTTGTGTAACCAAAAACATAGCATTATTATCGCAAGAGCTGAAACAAAAGGAAAAATGGTGCCAAACCTCTTTAGCTTGTAAGACTGTACAGGGATGGAAGTACTATGATGCCACAAAATTTAAATGATGGCAGAACACTTCTATTCATAAATACAAATAAAATGGATTACCCAGTAGAGGCAGTGCACTTGAACCATGTACATATTACAAGATCAAAAGGAGACGCTCACTATGCCAAATGAATATACAGATCTGATACCATCAACAAGCACACGCTAAAAAGTCCTGCGTCGACCAAAGGCTTCGGCTCAAAAAAGGTGCATGTGTATTGTGACATTTTGGACTCCTTCCAAAGAGTCACCAGTACCACTAGAATTAGGCTACACCACACACTGTTGGCACTTCTACATGCTGGAAGAATTGGATTGTAACCTTGTTCATACCAGAACACTCAAGCTACATCACACACTGTTGACAATTTTACATGCTGGAAGAATGGGATTGTAACCTTGTTCATAGCAGAACACTCAGGCTACACTACGCACTGTTGGTACTTCTACATGCTGGAAGAATTGGATTGTAACCTTGTTCATAGCATAACACTGTATATCTGTTTCTTTGAACAATCATACAATGAATGTAGAATAGGTGATGTGTCTTTGGCATAGCACAAAGGATTTTCTTGAATCTACCCAGCCAAACAAAAGTTTGTTCACAACTGATGGTGTTTTCTTTCTCCTCAAGATGATCATCAGGATGGTACCTGCCTTTGCATTCAGAATCTGCGTGGTTCCGAATGAGCAGACGATCAATGCACTTTTGTGGTTACAACTACAGTACATGTGCGACCAAAGCCATAAAAGTGGAAGTGGTTTACGGGCTACGACTATATTATCTAAATGGCGCATATTATCATTGACGATAGCAATTTTGGTCCAGTCTTCTGGAGATATCTGCTGGTAAAATGAACGGAGCCAAGGACAGCAGGATAATAAACACCTGTGATGGAGACTCAGACCCGCATGTTAAATTCTAAAATAAAACAAAAACAATAGAGAATCACACATACTCATAAGAGATATTCCTTCACATGGTGCTACCCAACGCCTTTCCACCTATTGCTTAATAGAGACTGATCGAAACGTTTGTTGTGTTGGCTTTTTGTTGACAATCTTGGACGTTTCATGACATTGAATTGCCCACAACTCCATTTGTTCCAAACCTTGGTTTACAATTTCGCATAGTTGACTAATATAGAAATCAACGAGGGATTCCCTTAGCCAACCAGCACTGTAGTTATCATAGATATGTCCCAAACACTTCAACACAGACACTTTGGGCCTGCTATTAATCATGGCCAATTGGTGGAATGACAGAAAATCTTTGGTTTTCTTGTCACACACTGCAAGACTATATAAATTCTTTGCGTCAGTTCAGGCTCACAAAAATGAATAAATTTCTCTTCCTTTTCAGTAATGGTGAACCATTTTTCTGTGATGGCCGGTGCAGAAAATAGTGAAGCATTTTCTTTGGTTGAATCAATTTTTCATCGAAAAACTAGTATCCTGCAGCGGAAACTTCACTTGTGAAAAGAAACACTGATGTTTCATGTACATTGACGTCACTGCACTGTATGATTCTGTTGTCCCTTACCAATGTTTTGTAATGCCCAGTTTCTAAAGATTTGCCTTCGTGGATGACGGCAGACTGTAAGTTGTAAACTGCTGGGGTATTCTTAATGCAGAAGTTCGACAGATCCAACACCACACTTGGGGTGACATCTTTGGATGATTTTCATAAGTCGGCCCCCTACATTACGGAGTCTCAACAACTGCACAACCAATAGCATGGGACAGTTCACAATAAGAGCCCTAGTGATTTTGTAACGTTGTCTTGGCCACAACTATCACAATGAAGACCAGTTACAGCTTCCTCTTCAAAGCATTTTTGCAAGTAGTTACCAAGGTTCACTTCCAAACAGGAACAGGCAATACACCACATGTCAAATTCTCAACTTCTGTGTTAATGTTACGCCTAACGCTTTTTGGGATCTCAATTTCATTGCGGACAAGACCAAAAACATTCTTCCCGTTCCCACGCATGAGAACGGGATGGAATGCCTTGTTGTTCCTTAATCCCACCGTTCTTTCGTGTGCAGAACAGGCCCCGTGCTTCACGTGTGTCTGGTGTGCAGCGCGGTCACGGTGTGTGAACATACACTGAAACCATTCTGATCGACCTTTCGCAACAAAAAGTGTCCGATAAATGTACATATTGGCGCTCACGGTTTGATTCCCTGTGGATACGGAATGCTTTTAAATCTGTGAAACATCTTTAACCATACTTTTACATTTCTTTTGCAGGTGTATCTCAGGGTAAAACGTTTCTGCAAATTGATGCACAGTTCAAGAGTTTCATGGGAAAGACGTGAAGAACTCCTGACCTTTAAAAAAAATAGGTTTTGTGGCAGACGAAATGTTTGAGAAAGCTTCAATGAAATACAAAGTAAAACATCGGCCTGCATTTAATGGGCAAGAGTTTTTAAGGTGGTACTCAGATCTGCCGACCTTCTGGAGTCAGAAATTGTAAATGGTGAGAGAGAAGTCTTGTATCCACTGACCAAAAGTTTACAGATATACAATGCGATTTTTTTTGCTTTGGCTTTGCTGTCCGACCGACTACAAAGCCCCCCATTTCAATTGTGTGCGCTTTGGTTCCCGTCAGGTAGTGGTAGTGGAAGGATACCTCTTTCCTACTTTAAAAAATGCATTCTTTTCGACTTGAATACCCGTTTTAGACAATGTAACTTTTTCTTGGCCTTATTTTAACGTTGTCGTAAAAATCCGAGCACCAACTTAGGCCATGAAAATGAAAATTTTGGATTTGCGTCCACCGCCTGCATTGTCCAAAACGCCTGGCCGAAAAAGTTCATTATTTAAAAAAAATTCATTATTTTCAGGAAAATGCAGGATTAAAAAAATCGATTTCAAATACTAAACCAGACAGCAGCAAAAGCCAAAGGGTCCAAAATATATATATCTACGCATACCTACCTACTGCATGACCGATCAAATTCTGTAAGACTGATAATGCCTTTGTGTAACTAAAACACTGACCTGGCCCGGCCATTTACATCTACATGCAAGTACTGCACATCGAGCACGAACATACTGTACGTGTACATGTATTGACACACATACGTGTATACATATACAGTACACGTACAAGCAAGTCCGTTAGTGCTGCTAAGCCGTTCAGCTTCCGTCCCGTTGCCCAGCCGGCTGCGAGTATACAGAATGCGGCATGCAATCAAAACCTGTTCTGTTTGACAACTTGATGACCTCATTCGCCTTATATGGAACATAGGTTGTGGCTACCTGCGGCTGGCATGCCAATTATTGAACTGAATATGCATTAAGCTCAGTTGAATGTAGAGATAATTTAGCAGTGTCATGTACCAGGGAATGCGGTATATTGCATGTTGTTGCTGATCTTTTATGAATTCTTACTACATACTGTGACGCCGCGCCCCTCCAACAAAGGCAAGGGTGCCCTCCTCCTCGAGGCGCAGTGCGGCGCGTCGGATGGCACATCGGAGAGTCCCTGAGCGGCTAGGGATGAGTCCATTGGGACCGAAGTATACCGTCCCCCAAGAAAGTTGGTCTTCGTCGAGGTGGCTAATCTGATTGGTCGAAACTTAGTGACGTAACCCGGACAGACCTGACTTGAAATAAACTTCGCCTGGACACCTGACTTATTTACAACAATTAATAAACGGCTGGTTTATTCATCAACACACTCAACCAGTATACCAGCAGATGGCGCTTTCAATGGGAAGACTGTGTGACTAGACTTTTGCATCACCGAAAAGCCCCTTTACCCGCCAAGCCCCTCGACGACACACGCACCACTCGGGACTAGCCACAATAACGACCCAACGTACGAGGGTCTTACCTGTACGTCCACTCAGTTGCTCTGCTCAAACCACAGTTCAGGGTTTTTGTAGCAGGATGGAACGCAATACAAGGTTCTCTATAACGTGCTCCCGCCGCGCGTTACATAGCCTTCGCGCTACTGTGACCACACCGACGCATGTGCTCACGTGACCAAGCAGTGACTTTTGCTGCCCTATCGCGCTACGCACAAAGCTCGTTTAACACACAGTTATGTGCTCCTAACATCTGCCTCTGTTACTGGGCAGAGCGCCATCTATAATTTCCGCTGTGCGCTATGCCTTGCACCCTCGTGTCACAATACTTTGCATATTCATCGCACTTGGCCGCACTGCACTCTGCACACCATCATATACGAAAAATAATGCATAATGAAAAGCCTCATGTTTTTCAAAATGCTCCGGACGCAAATGCAAAACCTCATTCTCATGGCTTTATGAATGTAATTTATTCATCGTACATGTATTCTTTTATTGCGAACCGGGTATCAAATTTCCAGTATTACATCAAAGATTTAATGAAGTAGATGAACCGAACAAGAAATTCAGTCTGTTTGGATAAGCCGTTCTATGATCGAGATCATAGAACTGATTTTTTTCATAATCTCTCAAGTATTTACATTGTTTGCCAGGTTAAATTTCAAGAAATCCACACATACACCTACTTCCCTCTGCTTCCAGTTGGTCAACATATTCAATTCCACACGTTAGTCCACACCCTCAAATCACTTAAACTCCTGCACCAGGCTTTCTTTTCTACTCTTCTGAGTACCCAGACCTATTCTAATTCCCTTCTTTCTCTGACTGTCTCTTATTGTCATCCCTATTAACCCTAACCCTCCTCAATCCTTCACCTGTTGGAGGACTTAGGAGGGTTAGGGTTAAAGTCTACAAAGAAAGCTGAGGACAGGACTTTTCTATTGCTACACTTTGCCTGTGTAACAGTTCATCCCACCACATTTGGAGCCCAGACGGTGCATCACCATTCAAATCTGCTTTCAAGAAGTCTCTCTTCCACAGATCATAGTTGATTGTCTCTTTTCTTTCTTTTCAAAGTGTCTTGCAGCCTCTGGTCATTTGGCAATATACAAATATATTTATGATTTTTAGTGTTAATATTTCTGTTGTATTTACATGTTAAAGCGTCTGCCTACAGTGGCTTACAGATATGCACACGTGGTATGTACATGTACCTGTCATTACCCTTCAATTCAATATTTCATTCCCCTTTCTCACAGGGATGACACAGAGGATATTTCAACAGTGACCAGGGAACCAAAAGATATAAAAACAAAGTTGTTTAGAAAATTGAGAATATTAGGTTCAAGCTGTAATCACTATGGCTATGGGTGGGGATGAGCGAGGCCTGGGCATTTCTGCATTGTAGCTTGCTTAGCAATTAGATTGAAATGGTATTTTATTTATTTCTTTCCACTGAGTTACTTAGTTTATATGAAGTTGTGTAAGTTAAATGACGTTATGTTATTAACAAAACTGTGAGCATGATTAAACCTTAAGTATTTTTCAAATGAGACTACGTTATTGATGTATGTAAAATGAGAATGCATCCGAACCTTGGAATGGCCTAACATCAAGGTGTCAGTGGGGTTCCAAAACCTGGCTGACGGTGAAGATGTATTCCATACCGCAACTCTATAACTTGGGGGTGTTACAATTTGGCCACTAAAGTG